CGGCTTGACAAAGCCCTGGCTGGGTTGATTTAGTTGGGATTGGTCCTGCCTAGAACAGGGGGCTGGACTTGATGACCTTCTGAGGTCTCTTCTAGCTCTATGATTTTCAATCCCACAGTATCAGAGTCTGGCATTTCAGGTGCTATAAAGATATGCTAAGACTCCATTAGAAATCTCTTAATTAAAAAGTTAAATGTGATAAGCAATTACTTATCTAAGTGACCAAAGATTCAAGGTTTAAAAGTTGGACAGAGTATATGCATGGTAACTGGTTTTGAGTAGCATTTTTGAGAACTATTTGGCATATGAGTTAATGCACAGATTCCAAAACGAACTGCTATTATCATGCTATTAGCAACCTGTAAGCTAAAAAAATATTTACAAGAATTTCAATGTAGCCCTTGTGTTTTAAAAAATAATAATAATAAAAAAAATCAATGAATGAATCAGCATGGTTCTCCCTGACTTGATCAAGTCATCATGGATGGCAGTTAGACAAAACCATTTTTAAACTTGTAAACCAAGCACTTCTGACATGAAAATTAGCAGGAGATAGTCTGGATTTCCCCAGTGACTTTTTTAAATGAGATTCATTATCACATTGGAACTGTACTTTTGAAAGGTTTGAAGAATTCCTCTAATCACCATGTCCTTCAGTTGTAAGAACCAACTTGGTATAAGTATTCAGTGTGCTTGCACATGTATAATTCTTTTAGTATTTGTCTACACACAAGTTGCAGCACTAACTTAAATCAGTTTAAATTCAATTTAAGCCTCACCTACAAACTTGCAGTGGTTTAATGAAACAAGTTCATTAAGAGATTCCAGAGACTGAAAAAAGCCAAATATAGTGCCTATCTATAAAAAGGAAAATAAGAATCCAGAAAACTACAGACCAGTCAGTTTAACTTCTGTACCAAGGAAGATAATGGAGCAAATAATTAAGAAATTCATTTGCAAACATATGGAAGGATAATAAAGGTGATAGGTAACATCCAGCATGGATTTGTAAAGAACAAATTATGTCAGATCAATCTGATATCTTTCTTTGATAGGATAACAAGTCTTATGGATAAGGGGGAGGAGGTGTAAATGGTATACCTAGATTTTAGTGAAGAATTTGATTCTGTCTTGCATGACCTTCTTATTAACAAACTAGGAAAATGCAACCTAGATGAGGTTACTATAAGGTGGGTGCATAACTGGCTGGATAACTGTTCTCAGAGAGTAGTTATTAATGGTTCTCAGTCATGCTGGAAGGGCATAATAAGTGGGGTTCCAGAGGGGTCTGTTTTGGGATTGGTTCTCTTCAAGATCTTCATCGAAGATTTAGATGATGGCACACTTAAGTTTGCAGATGATGCCAAGCTGGGAGGTGTTGCAAGTCCTTTGGAGGATAAGGTCATAATTCAAAGAGATCTGGACAAACTGGAGAAGTGGTCTGACGTAATTAGGATGAAGTTTAATAAAGTACTCCACTTAGGAAGGAACAATCAGTTTCACACATACAGAATGCAAAGCAACTGTGTAGGAAGAAGTATTGCAGAAAGGGATCTAGGGTCATAGAGGACTGCAAGCTAAATATGAGTCAACACTGAAACTATTGAAAAAAAATATTTTGGGATGCAATAATAGATGCAAGACACGAGAAGTGATTCTTCCATTCTACTCTGCCCTGATTAGGCCTCAGTTGGAGTACTGTACCCAGTTCTGGGCACCACATTTCAAGAAAGATGGTGACTAAAAGGGTGTTACAAGCAGGAGGGGGGGAAATTGTTCTCATTGGCCTCTGAGGATAGGACAAGAAGCAATGGGCTTAAATTGCAGGTTTAGGGAGGTTTAGGTTAGACATGAGGAAAAACTTCCCGTCAGGGTGATTAAACACTGGAATAAGTTGCCTAGGGAGGTGGGGGAATCTTTATCACTGGAGATATTCAAGAGCAGGTTGGATAGACCTCTAGCAGGGCTGATCTAGATGGCGCTTGGACTTGATGACCTCTCAAGGTCCCTTCTAGTTTTCTATGATTGTAAGCTCGGTTATACTGGTGCAGACCCTAATATAAGCACTAATTTTGGCTTAATATTTGCTTATTTTGGTTTATCTTAAGTAAATTAGAAATAGCTTTAGATGAACCAAAATAAGCCATCATTAACTCAAATCAAGAGTATCTTTCTGTGGACACTCAAAGATTTAAATCTGATTTATATCAGTTTCATTTGTAGCTCTACAAGCCCAACAGCCAGGTTTAAACCAATCTAAGAGTATCCACGCCAACAGCTGCAGTAATTTAGCTTCAGTAGTTTAAAAATCACATCTGTAATTTAACTAGTGTAACTTTACATTTGGACTGGGCCTCAATAGTTATCTTGGTAATGCAGAAGACGGGAAAGAATTTGGTCCATTCTGTCAGAGTCCAATTATACAAATATTACCAGCTACAAATCCCAAATCAGCAAAGAATTTAAGCACATGTTTAAGTCCATCTCTATTCAATGAATTACTTACTTAACTAAAGGTCTAAAGTTAAGTAGATATTTAATTGGCCAGAACGTGGAAGTGGTGTTAGAACTACTCTGACCAGGCAAAAACATTAACCTAACTCTTCCTAAAGAGTGACTGGAGACTGCTCCTTATGCATACACCATCTGGAAGGTAGAAGAGGGTTCTTAATTTCAAAATTGGTTATAGACACACATTTAATTAAAGCATATTTGTTAGCAATTAAATGGTGCTCTCTCTCAAAAGATGTTTTATCTCATTGGTTCTACAACTCTAACAGGAGAAAAAAGTTCTAGGAGACATATTTTTGTCATTAAAGTCACCAGAGAATACTCTTAATGCACAACAAGCACTTTTTTAACTTAAGAAAAT